CCGTCGATATCGATATAGTTACATGATGGAAGAATTCGTGTGAAGAATTGTGATTAATTATTTAACAATTTCGATTAATTGGCTGAAACTGCCACTTTCACCACAAATCCTATGAAATTACGATTTCAGAAATACCTTGTTACATGTCTATCAAATATCAAAAATACTTCCGACATCATCTCAAATCAATCAAGATATATTGAACGATAAAATAAACGATGATGATACCATAATTAATTATTAAATAATTTTTAATAATTTTCTCTCCTCTCTGTAATTGGTTCAGTGGTTCGTAATAATATATATTAACCGGACAAAATTATGCAATGTATAACAACTATACGTTATTAAAATTTTAAATCTTTTTTTTTTAAACGAAATACGCGTTAAAATATAGGGAGAGAACTAATCGATAATTGATCGGTTCACATTTCGATATTCGAGAAATATTTATTAAGAAGGATTTAAATTTCAATTTTATCAATATTTCGAAATATCTATTTTAATTTAAAACGTTATAAATTATGGATAAGCTTTTTTTTCTTTTTTTTTTGTAAATTGAAATTAAGTAATTACTTCATAAAATTCGCGCAACGTAACGACTTGTCAATAATTTTTTATATGTTCTATATCGTTTCACGCTGTAAGAGTGTGAAACGTATGAAAAGTAGAAATTTTCTACTTTTTCTCTAACCTATCTAATTGTCAATAATAATATTCCTAACTTTAGTTATCAATTTCTGTATTCCTTTCAATATTTGAGCAATGTGTCTTTTTACATTATTTTTTTTCATTTTATAATTTTTAGTTTTATTCAATTTTTTATCGTTTATATTTTGTTAAATTATCATTGTTCAGACCCATATCTATCGGATAATTTATAGGATAGGATAACTTTTTTTTTTTAATAAGCATTTTTTTCCTTAACATCTGTTTCTTCCATTTGCAATTCTCAAGGTCCAGTTTATGATATGTTTACATACAATTCGAAGCGCTTTCTAAATTAATCGCTTGCCACAACTTTTTTACTTTTTTACGTTCACCACGCGGTTATTTCAAATCAAATATTAACATATCATAATATTCAAATTAAATTTATTTTAACTTATCTATTGTGAATAATAATAACATTGTTAACTTCAGTTATTAATTTTTGTATTCCTTTCAATGTTTGAGCGATGCAGATGTGTCTTTCATTTTTTTTATAATTTTATAATTTTTATCGTCGTTTTGTTAAATTATCACTGTTCAGGTCCGTATCTATCGGATAACTTCTCTTTTTAACAAGCATTTTAACATCCGTTTCCTAAGGGTTCAAATCACAAATTATTTATATAATATATTATATAATATATTATACATAAAAAAGCATTGGCCCTTTAACTGGTTTATAATTTTTACGTAAAATCTTCGAAGAATATTAATAATATTTTTCTAAATATTTCGACGAACAACTTATTGACGATTATTGAAACCAATGAATATTTTGAATATTCATTGCCGACGAATACCCATATTCTAAACAGTATTACGATTTGATTTTGATAAAATATTTTTTTTTTTTTTTTTACGTTTTTTAAGAGCAAGGCTATGTTAAAAGTAGTTAAAGGGTTAATCTTCTAAAACATTAAATGGTATATAAACCACTGCGAATTAAATCTCGAAATCTCGTGGAGAGCAACAACGTAAACTTTTTGATTGTCGCTCGTTAATCTCTGTTCGAGAAGCGGGGAGGGGACGATAAATCTTCGGGCAGATCGAAATTTTCCCATGGGAGGGATCGAAAATTGCGATCATCAGCTCTCTCCCTCCTTCTCTCCCCCCCCCCCCTCTTCATCGTAATGAAATAATTGGCGGAGATCGGCACAGCTGCTGCCGATCCCCGAAAAACCGATTCGCAAGGAGGTGGATGACGATGAAAGTCGTTGATCCGCGAATTCGAATTGCGAAAGGGACAGGATTGGCCCCGTTTCCATATCTCAATTTTCGAATCGTCGAATTCCATTATTAAATTAAATTTTAAATTTATTAGTGGATTAGTGGAGACCTTGAAATTGTTTTCTTCTTTTGCAGCAGCATAAACGAATTTATCACGTATCGCGAGTAAATGGTATCCTAAAATTCAAGCAAAAAGTAATTTTGACAGAAAACACAGATTTGTAATTAAAAATTGTAAATTTCTTATCGACTCGTGAAGTATACGGTTTAGGGTTGTGTACGGAATGGGGATATCGGGTAAATGGCCTCCACGGCTTTGCCGGCGTATACGCGTTCTTCTATCGAAATTTTCCATCAGCACTTAGTTTCTTCCTTCGAAGCGTGAGTGGTCGTGGGCTTAAACCTTAAACTTGGAAAAATCCTAAAGAAAAAAGTCGAACAGTGTTAAATCGCATGATTTGATCGGCCAATTCCGATCACCGAAACACGGGAAACTGCACGACTAAGAAATGACTCGTGTAGTAATTGAATCGTTTCTATATGGCACGTGGCACCGTCTTGTTGAAACCACGCGTCGTCCACATCCGTATCTCGCAATTAAGCAGAAAAAACTGGAATTATCGTGTCGCGATAGCGAGGACCATTAACCGTTATTGCCTGACCAGCCGCATTTTCGAAGAAAAATGGTTCGATGATGCCAGTCCAAAATCCGCACCAAGCAGTGACACGTTATGGATGCATTTGTTTCTCAACGATCACTCGTGGATTTTCTGAACGTGACAATTTTCTCGATCCATCGAGCCTGAAGATGATTTTGTTCGAAAAACCTTCATTATTTTTAAAATATTTCTCGATAATGAAAACGCGTTACTCTTTCGTGTAACGCTCCATTTTTCAACAATTCTCAACTGTCACGCTGTCTTTTTTTTCCGTTGGCAGCACAAATGGCGCAAAATACAAATCTTGCGTGAATTTTGGGACACCCTTTATATATATCGAGAGATACGTAATAATTACGCGTGGAGTGGAAAGTCCAATGTTGTTGTTTTATTACACTTCGTTTTATTTTGAAACAGAAAAAAAAACTCCTTAACGAGTCTCACTTAGAATCTAAAAGTTATGGAGGATTTTCACGGAGTTGCTCGGGTAAAGGAAAGGCGTAACCACGAACGATTACTTTTCGTCACGCCACGATACTTGGTTTTGCTCCGTTTACCTCGTGTATCAATATCTAGAGTTTGAGAGGGGAGGAGGGGGGGAGTAACGCCGTCCAGTTACGCGAAATAAACATCTGTGCGCGCGTGTCCAAAGACGTGTCGATCGAACGAGGATGGTTTGAGACCGTTTTTCTGACGCGTAATACCGGATTCGAGATCGCATGCGAACTCGCGTGCGCGCGCAACATCGTGCGTTTCACGTGGAACGAGGAAATTCCTCGATAAGTTTCACGGTTAGAAAGTCAATTCATTACGATACGTCGTGACCATATTTGCGCCCGATTTGCATCTGGTTTGCGATGAAAATTATATAGCTTTAGTTTGTACCCACGGGGAAAGTAGATATGATCGTATTTTTGTGAAAATGGTCAGTCGAAATTGGAAATCTTCCAATTTAGATGGAAAAATGATAAAAAGAAAAAGTTAAAAACACGAAAGAAGAGAGAGACAGAGAGAGATCTTTTTGTTCCAAAAGTTTTCAATTCAACTCTAAGAAGGAAAAGATCGAGGTCGAGAACTTTGAAATCGCATTGGAAAAAAAAGAAGTCATTCTATCGCAAAAGAAGAAACTCTAAGAAACTCCAAGATTGGAAATATAAAACGAAGATTTCTTTTCCGGAAAAGTGATTCGGCTATGCAAGAAAAAAAAAATCGAAACGAAAACTCGAATCGAAAACTCGAATCGAAGAAAAAATACAAAAATAAAAAAGAAAAAAAAAAGAACGGTTGCCCCGTTCCTTTCCTCCAAATCGACGACGACGAGACGAAGAAAAATGGAATGGCACGGTTGTTAAGGGGTTGTCGGTTGACAAGCGGCGGCAATATTAATCGAGTATCGGGGATGGCACGTGTGTGTACCAGGTTTCTGGCACGCGCATCGTTGCCCGCTGAGTGGGGGAAGACTACGACGAAGACGACGAGGAGGGAGCCGCCGGATAAAAAAAAAGGGGGAGGAAAAAGGGAGCCTCGCGTCGAGTTTTCTTCCGAAGAGAGAGAGAAAGATAGAGAGAGAGAGTCGGCCGAGAACACGACCAACGCGATTCGGGATCTCCTCCTCTTCCTCTTCTTCCTCCTTTTCTTTCTCTTCTTCCTCTTCTTCCTCTTCTTCGCCACGAAACCTCGATAGTGCGTTGCGCGTGCGTATATACAATTTCTCGTACACACTTTTGCGTTTTAGACTTATTCGGTTTCATTTTGAATTATATTATATCGCACACGTTACTTTTACGTTGATGGAACGATAGCTCGACATCGACCGAACGTTGAAATGCTCTCGCTTGGTACTAGTGTTTACATTTCTGGCTAAAATGTATAAAAACTATCAGCAACGTGTTCGAATACGCTTTTGTAACCTATTAATACAGTGTGTCTATATAATGTATTATAACTATTATTATAAATTAGTGAATCGTTTCAAATTTTGCAAGCATAATCTTAAGATTTCCCTCCTACTATTCCTTCGATACGTATATTTCGTTCATCAAAAGTCGCAAATATAATAAGCGTTCGAATACTTTCGTTGCCCGCTGTACGTATGTGGCAATGCGCCGGATTCTTTCGCTTATATTTTATACCCGTCGCCCGGTTAGGAGAGAAAAAGAGCGAGGAGGTCTCGCGTCTGACGAAGGACGAACAATGCAGTGGCGTAGCCTCGAAACCGACTCCCATTATTACGGAGGAATAATGATCACGATATTGCTCGGATACCGATTACGCTTTTCAACTAACTCGGATACGGATTCTCGTTCCAGAAAATATAAAAGATAAAGATTAAAATTGTATCGTTCGTTGAAAAATTCGTCTTGGATTGACACGTTATAAGTAATAAATTTTACTTTTTTTCAGGCGAGAAGAAAAGGAAGGATCCATCGATTTAATCGAGGCACGCGTATCGATTTTAATTGGAGAAAAATTGGAGAAAAGGTTTGTTATTAAGCTACTGCGTGTATATTACACGCTCGTTGCGCGTTGATTATTGATTTTCAATAAAAACAACGGACAGGTCTCTCTCTGTCGCCTCGTCTCGTCTCGAGATCGGGAAGCTATTATCGCTTGTATTTTTAGGGTTACGATATGCGAGTGATACGTTACTGTGGATAGAAGGGAAGAAAAAGAGAGGGGAGCTAAGAGAGCGGGCAGGTGCACGCGTTTCATTTCGTGTTCCAGCCTCGGTTTCCGTCCCAAACTCGCGTCGTGATTTCGACCGTTGCCGATTTTATCCCGGACCCAAATCTCTTTTACACCAAATATCTAATCCGATATGACGATGAAAGCGAAACCGGCACCGAACAAATCGTATTCTTCTCAAAATTTCCATCCGACTTTTCGGGAATATCGATTATTATCATTATCATTATTGTTTCATTTTCACGTTTCTCGCCTCCTGATTTTAATCCTCTATTCCCAATTGGGGACTTAAATTTCACGTGTTCATGGATACAAATGTTCGATGGAAAAATACGCGTATGTATAATGTTCCCGACAGTCATAAAATATAACAAATAACATTTTCTAATATTTTATTATTTATTTCGCTTTTAAGTGGACTAACAGCCGTATATATATACATTTTTCAACTCGTCATGAAAATTCATGCGATAGAGGGTTAATTTTCTTTTAATCCTTTCTTTTAATCCTTTGTGGCCAACGGATTTCTCCTCCCTCCCCGTGGAGGGATTATTTTTCACCGCGATCGAGTTTGAAAAGAAGAAAGAGAGAGAAAGAGAGAAAGAAGGAAGGGGGATCCGTATGAAAAATTCGTACTCGCGTTGCGAATACACAGGTGCGGCGAGCTAACGAGCGTTGGTTTTACTTTCCTTCCCCGGGAAGTGGAATGAAGGGACAAGGGAAAAAAGGGGGAAGGAAAGAAATGAGAGGAGGAGGAGGATGTTGATATAAACGAAAATTGAGAGAGGTATAACGATACTGTTACGTGTGCAGATAAATTCTTCTCCCCTTCTTTTTCTAAATTCAAGATTTTATTATACACAAATCGGGTACAAGATTATCCATTCGTTTCGATCGGATAGATACCGTTTGACTTGAATTCTTTTCGCGATTCCTCTAACTCGTCGATCTCTTCCGAATTAAAATTTTCAAATTTAAATCTTTGCCACCGTTTTTCGCACGTTCCGTAGGATACATATTTTCTCTTCAAGTGGCGCGTCAGAACCATTTTTAGGAAACTTCGACACCCGATTTCCCGAGTTGGAGTGCAAAAAATTAGCAGCGAACGACTTCTCATGCGCGCCGTATCGCTCGAAATTGTCGCATGGGACTGGCAGCTCTTGTCGCGACTCTTCTTAAAAACGAAAGAACGCTGTTTCCAGATGGCGCCACGAACGGTAAAATAATTCGGTTGGAAGTTACGATCAAGCAGCGATACTTCTCATGCGCACCGTATCGCTCGAAATTGTCGCATGGGATTGGTAATTCTTGTCGCGACTCTTCTTAAAAACGAAAGAACGCTGTTTCCAGATGGCGTCACAAACGGTAAAATAATTCGGTTAAAAGTTACGATTAAGCAGCGAACGACTTCTCATGCGCGCCGTATCGTTCGAAATTGTTGCATGAGACTGGCAATTTTTGTCGCGATTCTTCTTAAAAACGAAAGAACGCTATTTCCAGATGGCGCCACGAACGGTAAAATAATTCGATTGGAAGTTACGATCAAGTAGCGAACGATGCTTTTCTTGCGCGCCATATCGCTCGAAATTGTCGCATAGGACTGGCAACTCTTATCGCGGCTCTTCTTAAAAACGAAAGAACGCTGTTTCTAGATGGCGCCACGGTAAAGTAATTCGAATTCGATCGTTACGTTCGGAAGTTACGATCGTGGAAAGTAAAGGGAAAGGAATTTGTTTGCACGTCTGATATTTAATTCGCGTTAATCGAGAGAAATAAAAATCTTGCGAAGGAAAGGGAAGGAGAAAGAGAGAGAGAGAGGAAGAGAGAGAGATTTTTGTGGAAAGAGAGGAAAGAAAACGAAAGGAGATTGTTATCGAAGGTGGAATATTAATAAATATTATATAAATATATAAATAATAAATAATATTAATAAATAAGAGAGGAAAGAAAATTGGGTGAATGATGCAGGAGAATGAGAGAAGGTTAAAATGAAGGCTGTGGAAGCTACGTGCGTGCCAAAAATTGCAAAGGTATTTATCCGGAGGCTTGGATTAAACGAGAAGAAGCGAGGAGAAAGCGAGAGGAGTCTCTCTCTTTCTGCGTTTAGCCTGAATTCACGCGTTGCACCTCGACAGGCTAATAACTTTCCCAATTAGAGAATTATTTTTATCCATATTTAATATAAACCTTCGTACATCTCGAAATTCATGAATCTCCAAAAACCTCGCGTTCGAATACTTCACTTTCGATGTTTCAACTTTCCCAATTAAATAATCATTTTTATCCATATTTACATAAAGCTTCGTACATTTCAAAATTCTTAAGTCTCCAGAAAAACTCGCGTTCGAATATTTCACTTCCGATATTTTCCCAATTAAATAATCATTTTTATCCATATTTACATAAATCTTCGTACATCTCGAAATTCCTATCTAAATTTCCAAAAAATTCGTGTTTCAATACTTCAACTTTCCCAATTAGAGAATTATTTTTATCCATATTTATCTTAAACCTTCGTACATCTCGAAAAATTCATAAGTCTCCAAAAAGAAACTCGCGTTCGAATATTTCACTTTCTGTGCTTTAACTTTCCCAATTAAATAATCATTTTTATCCATATTTACATAAAGCTTCGTACATCTCGAAATTCCTATCGAAATTTCCAAAAAATTCGTGTTTCGATATTTCAACTTTCCCAATTAGAGAATTATTTTTATCCATATTTATCTTAATCTTAACCTTAACCATCTCGAAATTCTAAATCGAAATTCTAAATCTCCAAAGAAAAACCTCGAATTCGAATACTTCACTTTCGATATTTCAACTTTCCCAATTAAATAATCATTTTTATATTTACCTTAAACCTTCGTACGTATCTCGAAATTTCTAAATCTCCAAAAACCTCGCGTTCGAATATTTTCCTTTCACCCTTCGATTCGATCGCGCATCCCGACAACCGATCGTTCAACCGCGAGCTTTAATCGTGGCTCGCAAGACGTGGCCCACGTGCGAGCACGTATTCGAGAAGGAGGAAGAGGATTTAGCCAGATGAAATACGGTTTGTCCAATTAAGTCGCGATAAGATCATCGGGTGGCGCTGGGTGGCGAGTTTTAAAACGACTTCATTAGACTACCCATAAAATTCATTGGCCCCGTTGTGAAACGGGGAAAAAAGATGGAAAGACAGAGAGAGAGAGAGAGAGAGAGAGAGGGAGGAGGGGAGGGACGACGACAGGTTAAGGGGACAGGTGGCGGGTTGCGTCGTACATCAAACTTTTAAGGCAGCCGGGTCTCCAATCTCGAGACGATTTGGGAAACGTCTCGATTTCCACACAAGAAAGGAACGATTAGGGTTTATTAGAGGCGACATACCGTTCCCCGAAATTCCTGAAAAAACAGAGGAGAGGAGAGGAGAAGTGAAGAGAGGAGAGAAGAGAGGAGAGGAGAATGGAATTGTTGCGCGTGCGGGAGAGCATCTCTCGCCGGTCCTCCCGATTTTTATCCGCGTTTAACCAACTATTCTCGAGGAGAGGAGAAGATTTCGTTGCGTTATTGTTCCGAAGAATTTGTTTTGAACGATGGAGGATTGGATAGGGAAGAATTCGATCTCTCTCACGATTTGAATATCGATGAGATTTTTTCCGATGCTAGGAGCTGGGAACATTCTTTCTTTCGTTTTCAGGGAATTTGGATTATTCTGTATTAATAACGCGAGTTCTTTTCGATTTGATCGAGTTTCTAATCCGAAACTGATAAAAAGAGAAAAGTAAAGTAAGACGGGAAAAATGGGCGAACCGGTTTTCCTAAACTTGTCGCTCGATTTGATGAATATCATTTCGAACGACCACGCATAATTCTATATTCTACAATTTCTATTTCCATAATTTAATTTCCATAATAGAGTGGAAAAGAAATATTGAGGGAAATTCGTTTCGATCGCGATGAAGAGAGAAAACGAAACTGCGTTAAAAATCGAAAGGAAATAGAAAAAAAAGTTTGAATAATAAAAAAGAATCGTATCGAAGAAAATTTCGATGAGAAATATCGAAGAAAATTCGTTTCTATCGTAATCACAAAAAAAAAAAAAGATACGGAGAACGAGAGATGCAAAGATGTATTAGAAATCGAAAAAAAATAGAAAGAGAAATTTCAACGAGAGAAAACGAAACTGCGTTAAAAATCGAAAGGAAATAGAAAAAAAAGTTTGAATAATAAAAAAGAATCGTATCGAAGAAAATTTCGATTAGAAATATCGAAGAAAATTCGTTTCTATCGTAATCAAAAAAAAAAAAAAGATACGGAGAACGAGAGATGCAAAGATGTATTAGAAATCGAAAAAAAATAGAAAGAGAAATTTCAACGAGAGAAAACGAAACTGCGTTAAAAATCGAAAGGAAATAGAAAAAAAAGTTTGAATAATAAAAAAGAATCGTATCGAAGAAAATTTCGATTAGAAATATCGAAGAAAATTCGTTTCTATCGTAATCACAAAAAAAAAAAGATACGGAGAACGAGAGATGCAAAGATATATTAGAAATCGAAAAAAAATAGAAAGAGAAGTTTCAAGGATGAAAGAGATCGTGTTGAAGAAAATTTCGGTGAGAAATATGAAAAAAAATTCATTCGAGTCATAAAAGATACATTAGAAATCGAAGAGAGAAAGAGAGAGAGAGAGAGAGAGAGAGAGAGAGGTTTGAATAATAAAAGAAAATCGTATCGAAGAAAATTTCGGTGGAAGAAAATTCGTTCGAGCCACAAGAGATATGTTAGAAATGGAAAGGAAATGGAGAGAGAGA